TTGTTGGAATTTTTTAGGAGAATTTTGGTTTTGGAGAGGGGGGGGGGGGGGGATCAAGATTTGGTAACGCACAGTTGCCAATCAAATGCAATCTTTCACAAATGTGAATAAGGTAAACATATCTAATTGGCTACTGGAGGTAGTCAATTAGATATGTTTATCACTGAAATTTAACACATAAAACCTTTTTAATTGCCACCACATTTCTAAATAAAAAAAAAAACAGGACGAAAGCCCACCACGTTTAAAAAAACAAAAACAAAACTGTAATTCGGTACCGAAAATGTATGTTTGACAGATGGCACTGCCTTTAAGTTTAACACTGGTCAGGACTGTATACTCAGCTATAACACCTTCAAGTCATCACAACTGTGAAGTCAGTTTGGAGGCACCCTTGACGACAAAGAACTTGTTACAAACATCATGGTGTGGTCTAAATATCCTAGTTCAAACACACACAAACTACTAAGCTGCAATAATTTGTCCAATGATCACAGACTTAGTCAGCACATTGCTTCTGGAATCCAGAAAAAGAAACTCAATGTCAACTGATCAAGAACAATCACACAGACCATTTATAAAAAGACCCATCCAAAAACCCCGCACCTTCTTTTCCTCCAGGAAAACTGCCTTACACATTGTAGTGCTAAACTTCGAAAACAGCTAAATAAAAAAAATACATATACAGGTACTTAAAAACTAACTCTTGCATTCACACTTGTTGCTTTTACCTCCAGTGGCATTATAAATAGACAGAAGGCACATAAATATGGAAAGGTGCAAGTACGGGAACAAATTTAGGGAAGGGATTGAGAAACTGAGCTTAAGTTAACTTAAGTTCCACCCAAAAAAACTGGGTATCAAATGTTCTTTTCCCTAGTAAATAAACTGAAAAAAACAAAAACGAATCCTACTTAATGATCTCCAGGAGAAACAAAATCGTGCCCCATTTCCTTGCCCAAAATGTCCAGGAACTGGAGATGAACCATGTCCAGCCTAATCTAGACAAGTTGTGCATATTCTCCGAAAGCTGGATCATCTTCTATATAGTATCAAAGTCAGACGTAAAAAAAACAAAAACAAAAAAAAAACCCTGTGATGATTATAGATTACCAGAAACCGCCGTAACACCAAATGTTCCCACAGTCAAGTCTTTGTTGGTTTTGATGATGTCATGTAGACTAGGCATGGATCCGGACTTTGTATCGATTAAAGTTTTAATGAACTTTCCTTGGTCCTGAAGTTTTGAGCGCCTGCGCTTGATGGCTCTTTTCTCAGTTTTAGTCTTTTGGGGCTGTCCGTTACAAAGGGCAGAGCAGGCTGTGATGCCACAAAAATAGGACTCTTCTGACAGGGAAGAAGTCTCTGAGCTGCCTTCAGAAGGTGGCCCTTTATAGGAAGAGTGATACACCTCCCCCATATTTGAGAAGTCTCTCTGGTTTGTGAATTGTTTTCTTGTCTTGATGTCCCCATTGGGAATTGCCTTTAGTGGATCCATTGGCTTTAACGTCTCAACCTTTTCAGTTTTACATTTGCAGCGCTTTTTCTGCAAGTAATATGAAAAAGAAAAAAAAATCAGTCAAGACAGTGAAAAAAAAAATAGACTTCATTGTGCATGATAGAATGCATTGAATTTTAAATCTACTACTGCATCCCTTTAAAACTGTGGTTCTCGTGCCGAGCAGCCATTCAAAATATGTTGTCTGGTGCAGAGTTTCAGCTTGAGGTGGGGTGGGCTGGGGGTATGGCCACGAGGGAGCTCCATCCATACGTGCATTGCTTACAGCTCCCTTGCGTGACTGGAGTGACATCACATTCTGGCTCCCTGCCCCTCTACAGGGAGTGCAAAAGAACTGTACAAGCAATGCATGCATGGATAGAGCTCCATCACAGCAGCCCACATTGAACCCCCACAATTTTTTTGGAGTGTGTATGAGTGTGTGAGAATTTGTGAGATTGTGACTGTGGTTGTGTGTGTCTGTCAGTGTTTTAATCGCAAACTACAACGCAATCGCACCTACTGTACGTTCTGGTGCGGGAGGTGCATTGAGTTGCCATTCATTTGAATGGCACCCCAAAAACACCTCCTAACCACAGTTTGGATCGCTTGCACTGGAATATGCGGTACCGCAATGCCATGCATTCCAACGTGGTGCGACTTGGGTGGCGACTTAATGATCAAAGACAAATGTGGGTCCTGAGTTTATACAGGTTGAGAGCCACTGCTTTAAATTTCCTCTTAAGGCCATTGTCACTCAAAAGACTGGCAAAGCAGTTCCCTGCAAAAAAAGTATATGCAGCTTCCTGGCAGTTCATATCTCCTACCTTTTTTTCTGTTCCTGTGTTGAAGCTGCCATCAGACACATTGGATGCATGTGTTCCCTGTAGCAGAATGTGATTACATCCTCTAGATGGAACCACAGTGTGCAGCGAAGACACTCGTATCCAAAACACTCCTGGAAGGGTTGAATGCTGAAGAGACTGACAAAAGCTGCAGTGCTTCAACAGAGAAGGTGGGAGCAATGGGCAGTCAGAGAGGTAAATATACAGTTTATTCTTTTGCAGTAAACTGCTTTGGCCAGTCTTTTGGGGGTAATGTCAGAGTGGCTTTAAGCTTACCATATGCTTATCTTTTTAAAATCTTTTGACTTACCAAAACTGTAACCAAAAGACCCAACTAAACTATCCACTTAGTTTGTATCAAATCAGACAAGCCCTTGCACAACACAGCTGTGTCACAGTTCCTTGTACATTGATCCAGCGCCAGGTTTCCTGTCAGTCCGCCCTGAACCTAGGTGTTAAAAGGCTTGTGCACCTGTGCTTTAGCGTTCGAGCAACGTGTCCCCACGCTAGTAGCCAGACCTCTGTGGCATTGCTGTTTGAGTATACCTTGTATCTTGTTGGTTTCAGTGTTCGCTGCCTGCTGCGCTTACATTCCCTGTTTTCTGTCCGTGTACCTCTTTTGTTTGCTGTGGCTATGTGTTCCATCCACAGCATTGTTTCCTGCTCTGTTTGTGGTTGCGTCCTGTGGTTAGTGTGCTCTGCACCATTGTGCACCTCCCTCCATTCTCTTGTGCGTTCCCCTCTGCTGTTCCTGTGCATCTCCTGTCATTGTGGGTACACCTGTTTGTGTTCCCTTCCGTTACCTACTCCCTGTGCCACGCATGTTCCCTGCGTCAGAGGGCCGCAACCTGGGAGCTGATCCGCAGCTCAACATCCACACCATCAGTGGCTCTGGGGGAAGGACCAGGCGGCTCCTTAGATCCTGCGACTCTGGCACACCTGTGTTTGTTGTGCGGTCACACTGTCCCTGCATCTTCAGAGACCTGTATCCTGCACATGCCTAATTCAGTCACTATATACAGCTCCGCAAGACCCAGAGTTTACGATTCCTGGTGCTCCAGTGCCCTAATATCGTGACATGTTGTAGGCAAATCTATAGAACATTGCACAGACTGTAACTTGAGTGGATAACTTTAGGCTTTAAAATACTGTAGATGTTAAATACTGTTAACATCTATATTTTTCTCTACAAAGCAAGAACTGGGATTTCTGACCAAGGCAGAGGAAAGAGAAGACCAATGCTTGGATAAGAGTTTTCTGTGATAACAGGCACCAGTCAAGAAACCAACGTCATAGGGGAAAAAAAAAGGTGTTCCATGACCCCAAAGGGTAGATTGTTAAAGATTTGACACAGATCAACAAAATCAAGAGTTGTATTTACTGCAGCCTTTTGATAAATAGGAAACTGGCATTATATATATTTTCTTGCTCAATAAAACAAAATAGCAGTACTACCATACATAGAACAGACAATGCGAGAGATCACAATATAAAGACCTCTCAAGATTTCAGTGATAACCTGTGCTCAGCATGGCACAGTCTGCAAAGAATCCGGAAAAGTAATATCGGGGAGCATAATTTAGAAGTTGCAATATTTATAAACAACGTACCTTTTTCTCTGGAGAAAATTTCAATGGTTCCACAATATATAAATCTTCAGGATCAACTAAAGAAAGGAAAAGAAAGGTTTATATGACTGTGAAAGCCAAAGCTTGGGAGATGCAATTTACAGCTAGCTCAACTCTCTCAGCCTCTCTGAACTTCCTGTCCATTACAAGCTCACAAGGGACAGTAGTGTCCAGCAGCTATCTACTAGCTTGGAAAAGGGAGGAGGGAAGAGACGGGAGGATGGAAGAGAAGGAAGCAGGAGGAAGGGGAGAGGTTTGCCTTGTTTTGCCTCTGTTTGTGAAGAAACACACAGCTTATTAGCACACAAACAAGGGTGGCTACATAGGTCCCCGCAAGGCAAAGGAGCCACTCTAAAACAGAACATCAGGGCCAGTGCTCAGCGGATCAGCTGATTCTGCAGGAAGCTAAAACTTTATAACAACAGCTTATTAGCACACAAACAAGGGTGGCTACATAGGTCCCCGCAAGGCAAAGGAGCCACTCTAAAACAGAACATCAGGGCCAGTGCTCAGCGGATCAGCTGATTCTGCAGGAAGCTAAAACTTTATAACAACATCGAGGAGCAGCATCCATTGTAAGCAATTTAAATCAGCATTTGAAATAGCGTAAAAATCTTTCGACTTTAATATCACTTTAACGTCCATATGCAGTAGATGTCCTGGTAAGAAAAGGTTAAAAGGAAACGAGACAAAAATTTGAATCTCCAGTCTTATGGTGTTATAATGGTGCAGCCTAACTTCTTGGGGATAGGTTAGTATTCCGTATTTGTATTCTTTTCCAGCAAAAGGGCATATGTCATCCCAAAGTAAGACTGTAAGGCCCTCATGAAGACCAAATGGTCTCCGCCATGAGCCAAGAGATGATAAAGAACAATGTCTGGAAGGCTGAATCAGAACAAATGTCAATTAACAAAGCCCTTAGTTTGTAATTCTAACAGCACAGGTAGGAGAAAGGATTCTCTTATAGTCCAACACACCTTCTCTGACAGGGAGTAAATTAAATAAACAAAGAAAATCAAGTAATCCCTGAGAGGTATGGCTACATAATAATGCAAGTATAGCGATTCAGACTATTACAGATGGTGACCAGTTCTCTTTAAAAGGAACTAAAATGCAGTACTACTTAAAGTAGAAGCATTGTGAAGGTAAAATGTACTCTTCCCAATAGTTTGAGCTGATGTGCGAGACTGCAGCTGTCACATGTTGGCTCTAAATCTGGAGAACTGAGCAACCACAAACAGCTGAACGCTCCGTTAAAGGCTTCTCACTGCTTCCCACAGGAATTCTCCCCCCCCCCCTTCTCTCTCTCTATTCGTCCAGAGCTCATTAGAAAGGGGAGACAGCAGGCACAGCTGGCTCTACAGAGGCAGGGCCAGCTGTCAATCAGGCAGCAGGGTGGATATGACAATACCATCGGGATCCTTCAAGGCTGCAGCACGGGTCTGTGCTACTGCCTATTTGCTGAGTTTCGGACACAGGAGTACATTACTAAATGTACCACTGTACCAAAAAAGGTTTGGCTTCATTTCCCTTTTAAAAAATGGATAAGACAAAAAACAAACAAACAAAAAAGAACATTCATTCCTTCATTCTCATCAGCCTTCGCCTTCCTTTCTTGGCATTCCGTCAGCAATCTCAAATTTCTTTAAACCATTCCGAAACCAATTATGCCAGCAGTACCTGATGCTCTATAAGCTCTACTATATAATCAGTAAAAATTAAAAAGATAAAACAAAAAAAATAAATGTGAATAGACTACACTTTTGCATCATCTCCCTGTGTAGATCATACTAATGCTGGACAGAGGCTAAATACATGTCAGAATAACACTGTTCAGTCTACTTCTATCTAAGGTGCAGCAGAGACACCTAGCGGGAAACATGGACTGCAGTTTGCGTTTGCTGTACACTGTACAGCCTTCTGTTCATATGCTTTTATATTCCATCCTGTATTTTCAGGCTAGAGCCTGGATTTTTTTTGAGTTTACACCAAGGCCATACATGTGCACATATTTATACATCTTGTGTGCATTGACATTTTTTACTTGCAATATTGTCGGGATCCACCCCGCTGGCCAATTGACAGCTGGCACTGCCACTCCAGAGCCAGCTGTGTCTGCCCCACTCCCCTGATTGTCCTTCCATCCAGTGAACACTGGAGGAATAGAGAGGGGAGTCACCATTCTCTACAGGGAGAAGATTGGGAACTGAGGGGTCAGCGGTTTGTGATCGCTCGATTCTCGATCTATAGAGTCAGCGTGAGGCAACGTTGGCTCAAAGTATTGGGAAGAGTACATTTTACTCACCCAGTACTTTCCCTTTAAATATAATTTGCATTAACTAAATGGGACAATATAATAGTGTAAGAAAATCAAAATACCAACTACTGAATTGTTTTTCTCTAACTCAAAGACGATGTTAAAGCATAATAAACCAAAATTAGACATTACAGGCGTTTATCGCAGTATTACTTCATCATTAGAAACAAAACCGAGTTCATTTGAGGTGCATGGGCAATTTATTTTTATAGCTACAGGAAGCATATTTTTGCAGCATACAAATCCTAAATAAAGGACGTTTGCTGTGTTGGCAGTGATCTAAACCCATGAAGACTGTGAAGTAGCTTTAGGGACTGCACTGTTCTCTTCTAAACAATCTCTCTCCTGTCCAATGCAAAGCTGCCACTCCAACAGCTTGTTTGCGAGCTAAGCAGCAAACTAAAAATAAGAGACATAAGATTTCCCTGTAAATATAGTGCAATCAACATAATAGTACTCATAACAGAACTAACTCGTATGCCACAAAAGCAAGAAGGTTTTTCAGCAGACAACGAAAAACCCTCCAAGTGATTTTAATGTTTGTTACACAGAGGCCAGACTGCAAAGTATAATAGCAACTATGAATTGGATCTTGCTCAACAAGCTTAAGAGTCTTCTCAGAAGGTATCTTCAAAAGTATCTTACTTCCTTTACAAATCCCCCCCAAAAAAGGTAGATATCGTAATTTTCTCTTTCGGCATCTGTTTAGTTTTGTTAAACCTATTCTCTTGCATCTCTGTGGACTGGATTCTTGTAGACTCTTGTAATATGTTCTTATAAAGCTAAGCTATTCAAGGCTGCATTCATGCGAGGATGATTTAGGACCTCTTGTGGGCCACACATTAGTCCATCCTATGTTTTTACTACTACTATTTATGACATTTTTGGGTGTTTAGTGGATTGTCCAAATAGTAATCCATCCCACACAGAAAGAGTAAAGAAACTTGTATCTGATGATTATTTTTATTGGTTAGCTCCAGTACATATCTTTGTGAATACTTCAATTTTATCAATACAAAATGTGGAGTACACATTCCAACTTTGCGTGAGGCTGGTTTCATTGTGCTATAGAAGAACTGGGATAACTGATACAACTGTATGTGGCTATGGAATTTATACCTCATTTTTCCCATAGACATAAGTATAAGTGCTTCTGTGATACAGGGACTGGAATTAAAGTGATATTAAACCTTCAGGTGTATTTTTCTTTTTTTTTTATGAATGGGAAGCCCACACTTCTAAAAAAAAACCTTATTCTTGATGTTTAACATTTTCAATTCCTCGTTCACAGGTTGATCCCTGAAGCGCTCTTTCCCCTGTCCAGGTGTCTCCATCAGCTAGTTTGCTGCTCAGGAGGAACCTGTGCGTGTTCCTAGCCGTGCCTGCAAGTAGCTGTGTGCATCAGGCCATGCCCCTCCTCCAAACACATTGACAGCAGAAAAAGCCTATTGCTCCAATGCCCTCAGTATCCTCCCTTACAACCAGAAAGTTTGGAGAATGGAAGATAACTTCACAGACCAGCGGCGGTGTGGGGAGGACAAAGGACACTGCAGAAAATGCATTAAGGTAAAAAATGCCCAGCCTTTAGTACCTTACTTTAAACTAATGAATGTGACACAATTTGCAAGTAGATTTCTTTTGATCATCAGTGCTGCCTATAAGGTAAAGGGTGGGAGGGAATACCAGAAAGGAAGAGAGGGCTCAACACACACCATGGTTTATTAAAAAGCATTTTATTTATCCAAAATAAATGATGCGAGAAGCAGCTTCTGCATAATTTAGATTAGTAGGCTTTCATATATGTGTGGATCATTTATGGCTCGTAGAGCCTGCAATACTAGTCTTTAATGCAGGTTAATATAGTAAGCACAGATATTATAGAGCCATTTATTTGAAACCACATACAGTAGTTTCAGGCCTGTTGGACACATTAGTGCAGTGAGTGGAAAAAAAAAAAAAAGTTATATGGCGTAGGGTTTTATGAGCAATGAAAGTGTATAACCAGACAGGTTATGATGAAGTGGGCAGAAACGAACCAATCTGATGAAAGAAAAAAAAAAAAACCCACAGCCTTCTCAGTTAGATGGTACCCACAAATAATTTTTTTCCAAAATGTAATTTTTGCAACATAACATACCTTCTTTACTTGACAGCTGAAATGACTGGGAACGAATCAGTGGTAATGTGGTTCTTCGCTTAAGATTCATATCATCATACGAAGAAAAACATCTTAAAAAAAAAAAAAAGATAAGTTACTAAAACAGACATTTAGCAATTGTGTTTCCAAATAACAGAGATGCAATCATATCAGTGCAGTGGTAAAGCATGTGTATGCAGTACCAAATGGCAGGTTAAGTTCCATGATTTAATTTAAAATATTTGAAAATGTCAGCTCACACAAATCAAATTTGCAGGTATGTTAAATCATCGATCAGCTTCTTACATCTGGGAAGATATCATCTCATCTCTTCCCAGCTACACCTACCTGGTTAAATGAAACCTGCTAGCACAGTACAGACAGGATTTGAAACAAAACTCCCCCGCCTTATTCCATCCCATACCAACCCAACAGACAGGGATAACTAAGTACGATTTTTTTTGTCCCAAAGTTAGCGCAAAGAACATGTAAAAAAGGTAAGCTGCATGTTTTATAAGGTATGCTATATGAATGGGAACAGACAACAAATATAACAGAAGTTATCCCAATTTGGCTGCAAAAGTGGAAATAATCTTTAAATGTTTACTAGCAGAGTCTTTACTTTCCATGAACTATTTTAGATTCACTTGCAATGTGCCTCTAAAGTTGGCTACTTTAGGAAAGTCCTCCTTGTACATCATCTCCCCTTTTAGGAGTTCAAGTACTCTCTGGGCTGGACCAGAAAATCCATCCCTGCCCTCACCCCTAGCACTGGTCTAAGCGTGTAAGAACAGTGATCAGAAGAGGTTTCTAACTTGTCTTGCTGATCATATTCCCCACTGTTTAGTCAGCGTAGAGGCAGATTTCAGATACTAAAAGCAGCTCTAGCAGAGAAGACAATCCCTACATCACAGCAGATAGTTAGAAACTAGTTGCAGATAGTTGAAGTAGATATACTGTACACTTTTATTTACAATATAAGCTTTGTATCTGCCAAGTATTATCACTTTATAATGAAGAAAAGGTGGCGGTGGATTGCAGTTGTCTCACCCACATGGAATATCACACACACTATCTATAAAATATGCTGGTATGCGATCTTAATCGAGGAGATCTGATGCACCCCATATGTAAAGGGGAACTTTTGTCTGAGGCCTTGGACATTTTTTTTAACATGGGCTGTCAGGCACTTACATGCGTTTTTGATGCGTCCCAGAGCAGGTAAAATAGGGCTTGCCGTAAGTTTTTGCCGCCCTATTTTACCTGCTCTGGAACGCATCAAAAACGCATGCAAGTGCCTGAAAGCCCATGTTAAAAAAAATGTTTTAACCAAAAATGGCCCGGAACGCATCAAAAACGCGTCACAACCCACTGGACTGCGTGTGCAGAAACCTGACCGGATCTGCTCTGCATTTGGTGTGAACAAGGCCTAAACCCTCAGATTTTAACATAAATACTGTAATGTGTGCCTTACTGTAATCCATGGTAGTTTCCCTTCTCTTTGCTGCTCTTCCTTTTAAATCCTCATGTCTTCTCCTGCTTGGGGAGAACTTCCCTTTGCAGCTGAGTGCCTCTTCCTGTAGTGCTGGCTCCGGTTGGACACCAACACACAGACACCGTGTATCCATTTCAGAGACAAGGCAGTCTGCTGCAAAACAGAAGTTCTCGCCCAGCATGAGAACAGATACAGATTTAAAAGGAAGAGCAGCAAAGAGAAGGGAAACTACCATGGATTACAGTAAGGCACACATTACAGTATTGTTTTATGTTAAAAAATCTGAGGGTTTAATGTCACTTTAAGAGTTCTATATACCTGGAATAGGCTTTTACACTCCAAACAATGCATTATCACAAAATTCTGAAACATGCCGGCAGTGTACTTACCGTTTGGGACTTGGATAGTTATTGCTTTTAGGTATTTTTGATAAGTAATGATCACTGAACTGCGATGAGTTTCGACAGCGTTGTAAACAAAGCAATGCCACCAAAACAACGCACAGCACTAAGGAGACGATTAAATAGGTCTGCCGATCGAACACCTGCAATGCAAAATAAAAGTTGGCAATTAATCACTGTTAAGATGGAAAAGAAAGGGAATAAGGTAACTGCTCACCTAGGCTAGCACTAGTACATGGCTTTGAAAGGATTCAGAAATACACAAATAACGGTGAGTGCATTTAGGAAAACAAGCCCACATGTTTATTGGTATTAGAGAAGGAAACCGCTTTCAGCAGCTTTATCACTACAGGATGTCCGACTATGACAGTAAGACCATGAGTCACTTTATCATACCACCACATACCAAATATCCATAATCTTGGGAATACGTTTATTGGGAAGAATTATGGGTTATGACTTCTCATGAAGGAAGAATGAGAAGTCAAGGACCCAATATCATTTTTGCCCACAAATTTCCAGTAAATACTTGTAATTTAATATCTGCTTAGTAATTATACTACCTATAGATCACTTCTAATAGTCATCTACTGCTGACCTGCTTACCGCCATTTTAGCTACCATAAAGTCATGTCGTCATATCACTTTCTTTGTGATCACAATGGTTCCAGCACTGAATCCTAGTAGGAACCGCAGAGTTCGGGTGCCACACCTCAATTTACACTACAGTGCATTTTGGTTATCTGTGTCAGGGGAAAAAAAGGGTCAGGTCTCGTTTTCAGTGGGCTGAGATGACTGTGCTGCCTTAACACAATGCTGTTACTGTGCGTTAACATGCATGTGCAATGCAAATGTGTAGGGCCCCTAATGCACAGAACAGTCTGGCATTCAGAATCATTAATAGTAAATAAAATTACTTGTAAATTTAATTAATTTTAAAATCAACTCAGATTTACTGTGGAGCCAGTTTGCTGGTAAAGCCTGGACTCCACACAGTGGCAGCCTCAGACCTTTTATCAGCCCTACCACTGGTGCCACTCACAGAGGGTGCTGGTGAGACGTGTGTTGGCACCAGGGGCATAAAGGTTCATGCAATACCTAAAAAAGGACAGGATTTTAAAGTTTTATAACACTAGGCCCAGTTATCTATTCCATGTCTTTTCCTGAGTGCCCAGTGAGAAAATGAATGTCCATTGCCTGTATTTAATGGACCCTCAATTGAAGCAGATGATACTAGATCAGTCAATCATAAGAACACTCACAAAGAACAGTAATGCTGAATCATAAAGTACAGAAGTTTTTAGGTTTTGGCCATGTCATCAACCTAGAGTTTACAAATAAATGAAAAGAAACATGCCTTCACCTATTAAACATGCCTTAATATAAGCGACACACCCAACCTGAAATTAATGAAGAATAATGCAATGATTTAATCTAAAAGAGCTGTACTAATTACATCATCTCTTGCACTGCTGGGATTTCTACTGGAATGCGACAGGAAGATTAAAAAAGGCATCCAACAAATAAGTATGCTTTGATCATAAACAAAAATGCAAGGCATCCAGTCTGAGGTTTTATTATACGGATTCCGGAAATGACACACCCTTGTATAAAGGAACTATGACAAATACTTTCAGAATAACCTCTCTAAATTTAAGACAATTAAAGTGAAAAGAGGTCTGACCAACCTGCTCACTAAATGAGTCTTTGGAGACTGGGCGTGCATGCTAAGGCAATGTTAGCAGCTCTGGACCTGGAAATCGCTCCGCTAATAACTTTTACCAGAAAAAAAGTCTGGAAAGTGCCCTATGTGCAATCCAGTGCCTGAATGTTCACACTATGCCCACAAACTCTGGTACAGAAGGTTCTGGATGCAGTGCTCCAAAAGCCCGGCTGAGGATATCCTCGACGCATAGCTGCTGCTATCAGAGAGACAACTCCAGGAGCAATGTCTCGACTGAAACAACACTAGCAATATACAGAGTGCAATTCACCTAAAGATGGCAGTATAACCTGAAGGTTAAAGACTTCCTGCGTCCAGCAATGCATTTTGTTAGTTACTAATGCTTTTCCTTAACAGTTTCAAGTTTGCTACAGATCGCTTAGGTTTACCTTAATATAAGGTCTGTATATTCCCCAGCATAATAAGTACATTCAGCTCTGTAGAGGGCAACAGGCATGTATTTCCTAAAGCCTGTGTTGTGCAGCTCACCCCCTCTCCCTTTTCACCAATTATGTTCAAACTTCCAAAGCACATTTGCATCCAAATGGTAACTGTCAGAAACTTGGTACTGGCCGGTTTTGTTACATCAAGCATTCTGAGTGTGTAAGAAGGATCAACATGTGTGTTCAAGCATTACCAGATTATAGACCTGCAACAATAGATCACTTCTAATAGTCATCTACTGCTGACCAGCTTAGAGCCATTTTAGCTACCATAAAGTCATGTCGTCACATCACTTTCTTTGTGATCACAATGGTTCCAGCACTGAATCCTAGTAGGAACCGCCGAGTTCGGGTGCCACACCTCAAATTACACTACAGTGCATTTTGGTTATCTGTTTCAGGGGAAAAAGGATCCGGTCCCGTTTTCAGAGGGCTGAGATGACTGTGCTGCCTTAACACAACGCCTGTTACTGTGCGTTAACATGCATGTGCACAGTGAACTGCAAATGTGTAGGGTCCCTAATGCACAGAGCAGTCTGGCATTCAGAATCATTAATAGTAAATTACATTACTTGTAAATTTAATTAATTTTAAAATCAACTCACATTTACTATGATCTTATGTTCTCCTAACTTCACTTTGTTTGTCAGCACTCCACCTCCATCAGCAGGGTGGGACTGAGAGCCTATGCAGGGATTCCCATGTCAGCTATCAGTCCGAGCCCTACACAGGCAAATCACCATCTGTCAAGCCCATGTGACAAGGGCTGTATGGGTGCAGACTTCTCCCCCAACTGGGAGCTGGAGACAGCTCAGAAGTTCACACATGTGCTTAGTCTCTAGAATGCAGTTGGCAGGTCTGGGGCCAGTGTGCTGGTAAAGACTGAACTCCACACAGTGGCAGCCTCAGACATTTTACCTGCCCTGCCACAGGTGCCAAACACTTAGCAGGCTGCACAGAGGGCTGGAGAGTCGTGTGTTGGTCACCAGGGTTGTAAAGGTTCATGCAGTACCTAAAGAAAGGACAGGATTTTAAAGTTTTATAACACTAGGCCCAGTTATCTATTCCATGTCTTTTCCTGAGTGCCCAGTGAGAAAATGAATGTCCATTGCCTGTATTTAATGGACCCTCAATTGAAGCAGATGATACTAGATCAGTCAATCATAAGAACACTCACAAAGAACAGTAATGCTGAATCATAAAGTACAGAAGTTTTTAGGTTTTGGCCATGTCATCAACCTAGAGTTTACAAATAAATGAAAAGAAACATGCCTTCACCTATTAAACATGCCTTAATATAAGCGACACACCCAACCTGAAATTAATGAAGAATAATGCAATGATTTAATCTAAAAGAGCTGTACTAATTACATCATCTCTTGCACTGCTGGGATTTCTACTGGAATGCGACAAGATCATGAATAACTTATTTGTTAGATGCCTTTCTAAACAAAAATGCCAGACATCCAGTCTGAGGTTTAATTATACGGATTCCAGAAACGACACACCCTTGTATAAAGGCTGGATAATTAGTGAACTATGCCTAAGATTTTCAGAATAAACTCTACATTTTTTTTTAGACAATTAAAGTGAACCTTTCTGTCTGCATGAACAAATCCCTGTCATGTCATAATCAGAAACAGTATCATTTCTCAGAAGTGATCTTTATCTTACAAAAAGCCAGTCCTTTGCCTAGGCAGAGATGATATTAATCTGCTGAATGGTCTCCTCTCCCTCCAGTGATTACACTGCAGCACTATAACTTTGAAGCAAATCACTGGCAGCAGTGTGGGCTGATCTGTGTGAGGGCCGGTTTCCACCATCACCGAACATACATTTTTTTTTTTTTTTAAATCGCACCAGAAATGCATCCCCATGTTGTCTTATGGTATTTAGGGTTCTCACCAGTGCAGTCAGTTCCAGTACTCCAGGCAACATTTTTTCTGGTCTGGAACGCGTCAAAAATGCATGTGAAGATGTACGAACGCGCTGGCACCCCGAAAAAAAATAATCATATTTTCTTTTCACTTTTGATGACCTAATCAACAGTGGACACTTCCTTATGGCAAAAGGGGCGTTTTCAGCTGTACATTGCTGACCTTGACATTATCCTCTGTCTTCTATCCAACACGGTTGACAAACATATTGACACTGACCATTTTGTCACGTATGTGCAGGGGTGTCCTGAGCTTTATGCTCCTACAAACCCACAATACAAGGGTAACAGACACAACGCAAAGACAATGCCCGCATTCCATGGCTCCATGTTTGATCAACTCCTGTGAAGGTCGCATACACGTGGAAGACTGAGAGGAAGCAGAAAGGACCTCAGAGACATAATCTGCATACTTAAAAAAAACATATCAAAAATGCGTGCAGCTGCATTTGAAAAAAAGCATCAAGATCTGGTCTGGGAGATGGTGGAAACAAGCCCTGAAACATAACTAAAAACTGCAAGTGCACCAGGATTTACATAACTCAGGCACTCTCCATGCACACCATCTACTTCCTATGTAAACTCATAAATTGCTTCTTCTGAACTAGGGCTGCAACAACTAATTGACTAAATCGATTAAAGTTGTCAACGTTTTCAATCATCGATTAATCGGCTTCCGATAAATTGGCCCTGTTCAGGGCTCCACACATGCTGCGCGCCGCACCTCCTCCCCACCTCACACTCGCCGCTGCCAGACCGGCACACTGGCATCCACGCTCTACACGCCGCACCTCCTCCCCGCCCACCACATCCACTATACAGCGCAATGCAGAATACCACAAGCTATAGAGGAGTACAACAAATCCCAGCAATAATACATTATACAGTGGTGCAATGCAGAATACCACCAGCTATAGGAGGACTATAAAAACCAACAATAGTACATTATACAGCGCAATGCAGAATGCCGCCAGCTATAATGTACTATTGCTGGGATTCGTTGTATTCCTCTATAACTGCTGGTATTCTGCATTGCGCTGTATAATGTACTATTGCTAGGTTTTGTAGTCCTCTATAGCCGGTGCCATTCTGCATTCATTGCTGTATAATTTTACACTTTCCATTTCACTATATTGCACACCACTCTTTCTTTTTTACTTCCACCGCTCCAAGCTTGCTCCCGTGATGGACTACAATCTCAATACAAACTAGTAGTCCATCACTGGAGCAATTTTTAAAAATGTATTTAAATGTTTTATCCGATTAATCGAACTTAATAATCAGCTAACTAATTGATTTTGAAAATAATCGCTAGCTGCAACTCTATTTTGAACGACAAAAGCAGTTGTATGGCTTTCAAAGGGAGTACAGTGATCTCTGGTAGATGATAAATACCTGGAAGTGCTACACTGACGTATTACTCAGTATGCATGCACTAAAGGTGAACACATATCTTAAGCTAGGTCCACTTTATTAAGTCCTATCAAGTAGCAGAATGACTGTAAACTGCAAAAGTTAAAGCCAGTATTAAATAAGCCAAAACAAATAGTGACTTACCTCCTGGCTTAGCTCAGAGACGGCGACTGACAGATTAGAGACCAAGAAGGTCATGTTGAGGAGCTGAGCTTGCAGAAGTTGTATAGACTCAGTCTGCCTTTGATCCTGCCACAATGGATATCAGAAAAAGGTTATTTCATAACACATCTCGTATGCTCATGTATAAATATAATGTTGAAGAACATATGCACAGGCAGTAAGTACACAGAAGTTTGTTAATCATACGGACGCCCAGATCACTTCTACAATATTAACTTGTTTTAGCAATTACATTTATGACACGTTACTGGCAGTCAAAAGGTTAAATGCACTTGCAGCGACTGTCCACCCACCTACTAATTTAGGCTGTGCTTGAAATCCCCCAAAACCTTTGCATTTTGGACATAGTGACAAAGGATTCAATACGTCTTTATTGCTGTCTACAGGTACTGTATATTCTACCACTGACTCGCTTCTGCTGCAAGCTGAATTTCACAGTTCCGTTGTTTGGAAATTGTTCTCTACATTCCTAAGGAGAAGTCACAAGGAGGCTGGTGACACTGTAAGGCGCCATTCACACTGGAGCGGCTGTCCGCAAGTATTCGGCTGTACGAATAAACGCAGAGCCGCTCAAAACAGAGAAAAACAATACACTTTAATGTGTATTGTTCAGACTATTGTGGGGGTTGCGCAGTTTCATACCCCCAAAATAGAGCAAGTGCCCTAATACAGCAGATACCGACTATATAATAGCTGCAATCGAGCGGAATCAGTGCAGTTGTTTCACATATAGCGTTTGCGTCACGTGCGGGAAACATATGTGAATGGAGTCCAAAGTGATAGTCAGTCCCCAGTGGATTTTACAGAACACGCACTAACAGATAGGAATCAGTAAATTATGCTTTGAACAGAAGCATGGGTTTTGCAGTAGAACCAGGAGGAGGAGAAGATTGTCCCATTGAGGTCACAGAACACAATTAGGAACCGACAGAAGATCAAGAACAAAAAGTAAAGCCTACATGTGCTTTGTCAATGCTGGGCAAAGCAACAGATTGACTTTATTTTAACCCTCGCCCCATCCCTGTTAAGTTACCAGGTGTGAAGGAAAGTCTTGTGTGAGCTACATGAGTCACCAAGTCATACAGTCCTACTTTAAAAGGAGAACTATGGGGTTAAGTCTTTTCCCCATAGTTCTCCTTAGGGTAACGGAAGGACACAAAACTAGCGTCCTCCCATCACACTAGGCTCAGTATACTGCTCGCGGTATACTGAGATGCCGCAGCTGAAGCGGATCCTGTCAATTGTGCCGGGATCCGCCCAGCTGCGTGACTGACAGCTGGCTCTGCCTATCTAGAGGCAGAGCCAGCTGTACCCGCCCCCTCCCCCGTCCGTTCCACCAGTCAGCGCTGGCGGATCGGAGCGGGTAAACCAGCCCCGCCGGCTCTCTGCCGTGACAGGATCAAGAGGTGAGCGAACGCCGGTATGTGTTTGCTCACCTCCCGATCTACTGAGCCGACCTGTGACAGTCTCATTGTCACAGGTCGGGCTAGAACTATGAGGTGAGTGAAAAGGACTCACCTCATAGTTCTCCTTTAACCCCTTAATGACAGCTTCAGAAAATCTTTCCTTTCCTGGGGACCAGAGCCATTTTGCCATAATTTATCTTTAACCATAATTTATCATCCTCATTCAATGCACATACATATATTATATATTTTTTAACCAATTGCCGTCTGCCCGTTGTAAAAAAACGGACAGCACTGCTGCATTGGTGGGTTGGCATTTTTTTTTCTGCTAGCGGGCGCGCACGGGCAGAAAAGAACCGTGCAATGCAAACACCGGTGTGTTTCACATAGACAATCGGTCCCCTCCTGACCCCTCACCTTCAATCCCGGTATCAGCTGCCCCATTGGAGGCCCGGGACCAGCTCGGGAGGGCGTCAGGAGGAAGGGAGATCAGCTCCTTGCTTTTCTCCCTCCAGGCTGTGAATGCAGAAGTGATGTGGATTACATCACTTCCGCATTCACCTGTCAGTCATCTGACTGCTATAGCCAGAGAAAAGAAGCTGATGAAGCAGATCTCTGCTTCATCAGCTTCTTTTGGGGTCCACAGGTGACATTAGGGGTACTAAAGACCACTAATGTCTACATAAAGAGGACCCGTCAGTGTGCTTTGTTATTATATAGGGGGATTGTTATCCCCCTATATAATAGCAATAACAATAAGATAAAAATGTCACATATAAAAAAGTTTTAAAAAACCCCCCTAAAATGTTCAACTCCCCACCCCCACGTTTACACACATATAAACGCAAATATGTGTCCGGTGCACCAGCGCGCGAAAACGACAATTGCGCTACACACTTTACATATCAGCGCGAACGTTGCAGTGAGAGCAATCATTTTAGGGCCATCAATCACTGATAACACTAAACTGATGAGCGATAAAAGCTTTTAAAGCGTCGCCTGTGGCCAATTTTGGGTATTATCGTTTTTTTGAGGTTTCGCCCACAATTTTAAGACTTGACATGTTTGGTGTCTTATTACCGGACGTGACCCCGTCTTTTATATTTTACCAAAAAATTGGGTAATAAAATGTTTTATCATGTAATATAGGGGAAACCGTTTTTTTTGGGTAACATTTCGGTAATTTTTCCTCAATATAGTAAAAAATAAAAACCCCAGGTGGTGAATAAATACCACCAAAAGAAAGCTCTATCTGTCCCCAAAAAATAGTATAAAATTCATTTCAGTACAGCGTTGTATGAAGGAATAAATGTCATTCAAAGTACCACAGCGCTGAAAAATGGCCTGGATGGGAAGGGGGTTTAACACCGCGGATGTCAACTGGTTAAAGGACAAAATGGGCTTTAATGTGACGTGACGCATGCATAAAGAAAATCTTTTTTTTTTTTTTTAAATGCAAAAAAAAATGCAAAAATACAAAACACATTTTTCACACTTTTGGCAATAATAATGTGTACATTATTAGTGCAACTAACAGAAAGTAATTCAGAATAAATAAAGTCCTTATATGTCTGGGATTTCAGTTTATTTTGGGAGGAGTTCGCAAAATACGAGGGAAATACACTTAAGTTAACACTTTTAGAATGTGGTATGTTTTCTCCTAGCTTTAATGACCTCCTATATTTTTTATTAAATGTATTTTATTTTAAACTTTTTCAATTTTTTTTCAAAAACTTAAATTTTTTTAATTGTATTTTTTTTGAAACTAGGGGGCACTAAAGGGGTTATTTTTTATTTACAGCAGCTTTGATACTTACTATATATCTGGGGATATAGTATTCTCCTCAGAAATACTTTGCATCAGTTTGTAACACACAGCTGGCTCTCAGCTGCAGGACATAGTGAGCTGCTGCTGGTTCTTTGGCTGTTACGGCTCTGTGATCTGTGTGTCAGGACTGTGACCACCTAATCTGCTACTTTGGGTTTGCCTCTGCCCACTTAGGGACCCATCAACAGCAGTAACTGTATGAGCTCTGGTCTCTCCACGGACCAGCAGTAACTCAATAAGCGCTGGTCCCTCCATGGACCAGCACTCATTGTACCGCATGACGGGATTATCCCGTTACCTGTGGTTAGTTAACTGAACTAATGTGACGGTATAATTCTGTCATCGGTCGGGAAGGGGTTAAAGTAGCAGATTTTTTCCTTTTTATTTATTAAATTTAATATGGGGAAGCCTGTCAAGATGTTTCAGTAATAATACCTAAAGAATATGCGAAAGCTTTAGAAGATAAGGAAAATACCATAATTCGCTACACATTCTAAACTATGTCAACATTTGCTTGTCAATTGTAGGCAAGGCCGGATTTCCCACAAGGCCAACAAAGGCCCGGCCTTGGGGCAGCAGGGAGTAGAGGGGCAGCCAGGGGTGTGGAATTCCTATTTCCCGACCCCCAGGACATGCAGTTCGGGGCACCGGATGGGTAGTTGTTTTCTACATTTAGCCCTGCTTTGGGCAAACAAAAAGCTACATGTACAGCGGGGAAATCGTTTTGTACAAAGCCTGATTGTAGGGGAATATGAAATTTTCACCACTTTTGACAGGTTGTAAATGCTGCCACTAGCGGTCATCTTTATCAGGGAAAATATTTAGTGTTGGTGTTTTCAGCCTGGATAGACCTGCCCTATTTACCTGAATGGAACGATAACTTTGAAGTGATGAACATATTTACTAGGCAGAAGGCACAGAATGATAGAAGACACCTCTAAAAGGACCGATTCCACAGCAATAAAATTTAACTAGTATGTTATCAAATATTACACTCCGAGTCCAACATTTTACCCAACTCACCTGTTCTTCTGCTATTGCTGATGTATTTTGAAGCTTTAGTATAGTCTTGTTAAAAGCTCGCTGCATTTCTTCCATTTGTTTCCGGTACCTGTATAAAAACAAATCATATATTAAAAACACATTTTAAAACAAGCTCGGACAAAAATAAAAAAATACATAACATTGAAGCAAAGTGAGCTGCCTGCCAATTAATGCGAATCCCTTCCAAGTGTCTGGTAATTCTTGCATCATTCATACCACTGAGATTGCCAAACTCTCCTACTATCGTCATAACTTTCGATAAACTTATGCTTTACCCATTCAGGACAAAAAACACTTGTTTTCTATAATCCTCCACCCCTCCCCTGGGGTAATTTCTTTCCCTTAGCACCAGGAGCAGAAGGAAACACCAAGTACTCCTACGTATAGAAGAGCACATGATTCACTCCAAATGACAGAGCTGGGCTCATCTAAGCTGTATAAGCTACACTTTCCTTTGCTATCCATGGCTGAACAAAGCAGATCAGAAGCAAAAGAAAGGCAAGTATATGCAAGGGGGCTCTCTTAAAATTAAATTTAACCTGTTGCTTAGCCCTGAATGGGAAAAACCACATATTCACTTAAAGTGGTATTAAAGTAAAAAAAAGTTTTCAAGTTATTCGAAATGCTGATCAAATCATTTACAAATAGATGCTGCTCCTTGATGTTTAAAAGTTTTTGCTTCCTACAGAATCAGCTGGTCCTTTGAACACTCGCCCTGATATCCGGTTTTTGAGCGACTCCCTTCCCTTGCAGGGTCTCATGGAGCCACTCTTGTGTGTGCTTGGAAGCCTTGTGTGTATCCACAAACACACAGACATGGCAAGACACTCCTCTCCTCCATGCTCACCCACCACCACCCCCCCCCCCCCCCCCACGCAGATGGGGGAACGAGGACACAACCT